GGAAACATGGGTTTAGAGGTTTAGTAAACAGCAGGTAGATTTTATGTCAAATGGCATAGATTAAAATTAGAAGTAAGATCATGATCAGCACGATTCATAACCCAAAAGACTGAATGTTGTCACCGCTGCAGCTTGTCTAGAGAGAGACCTGCTGATTAGAACAAACCTGAAAGACCTGATGCAGGCATAGTTGCCAAGTTTTGAAAGTTAGTTGGGCTCTGTCTAATGCAATTAGTGTCCTAGCTTCGTGCAGAGTTCCAAGAATTGCAACCCAGTTAATATACTTGAAGATTTCAATATGCCACTAAAGCACCAGAGGTAATAAGTTGTTTTGTATTATTTTAAGTCTTACACTACGATGCAAAGAATAAGTTTTACATGAATTTTTACATTTTTGTGTTTTATCTTGTGACCACAGTAAGGATTAATGAAAGATAATAACTGCCTTTAATATGCAGAGATAATTTTTAAGGGTAAGCAGTTAGTTATAAATCCCCATGGTTTCCTTCACACGATTACCAAGTTTCATAACATTTGGTTCAGTAGTTTTCCTTTTATGACCATTTTAAAGTGGAACTTTAATTATAACCACCCTATATTTTAAGGTTCCAATAAGCCACTAAAGCACCCAGAGGTGATAGAATGTTTCGCATTATTTTATGTCTCACTAGATGCAAAGAATAAGTTTTACATGAATTCTTACATTTTTTAGCTTTATCTTCTCAGTGCAGTGAGAATTAATGAAAGGCAATAATTCACTTTAATATGCAGAAATAATTTTTAAGGGCAAGCAGTTAGTTATAAGTGATTAATTAAGGCAGTTAGATAACCTCAGTCATTATGGATTTACATAGCCACTATTAAATTTTATTTCTATAAATCTTGCCTTTAAATCCTTCTAAACATTCCAAGCTGCAATGTCTAAAATCATAAAGAAAAATTATCCCTACCAATTCTGTACCAGCAAAAAGCCAGAAATATTTTGGATTATTAAAAAAAAAAAAAAAAAAAGGGAAGAAGAGAAGGGGGGGAAGTGTAAAATTAATTTTATAGAGAAAACTGATGCATATTCTGATAGTTTTGAATATTTTGAGACAATTAAATGGGGAAAACTAAAAAGAAAAAAATTAAAAAGACCCTTTTTTATTAATTACATAGCTAATTTTGCTTTTGCTAAGAGCTGTTTCGTAAACTGTGCTTTATAGCATCATACTTTATTTATTTTTCAGATTCAAAATATTGTTTAATAAGTTGCAAAATGAAACTTTATAATATGACAGCGAAAAATAAAAATGTTTTATTTTAATGTTATTTTTTAAATATAATTCCAATATAGTACCATTATTTTAATTTTGAAATTTATCAGTGTTATGATATTTTAAAAAAAATTGACGAAAAATTCTCAGATTTCGGAATCTAAAATTTTCTATAGAAACTGATCTAAAATCACCAAAATGTTGAAATCGCCAAATTTAGAACCGTTTAATAAGAGAATTCACATTCCCTAAAGTGAAAAGTTGCTAAGAGCTCTTTATTACGAAAAATGAATTTCGAAATTCTTATGTTTCACTTCTTGCTTAGAAACTCGAGTATTGCAACATTTATATTAGAAATAGAAACAAATTATAATCCATGAACCCATTCAAAAGACAACCATATACGTCAGTGAATTGCCAAAAAATATTCCTTCAAAATGCTTATTCACACTCAAAATGGCAGTCGCAAAAACAGACAGAAATTTCAGATGATTAAAATTTAAGAACCTTCTGCTGATTTTGGCCAAAATTAAGGACCAAAAATCGATTCCAAAAAATTTAAGGTCTCTTAAGGATTGTACGAGCCCAGTATTCCAGCTGGTATTCATATCAATATTACAGTCATTATTATTATTTGAGGTACATTAATCAAAACATCAGATTTATTTGAAATAGGTACGTTTTTAACTTGAGCAATTTTTGGTTTTACAGTTTTTGCTGATTTCTTAAAACCATCAATGCCAGTTAAATCAGAAACTGAAATTTTCAATTTCATGTGTACTATTACCTGGACCACGTGCTGCAGTTTTAGTTTTAACATGCAAACTATTGATATTATCAGTATTATAGTTATAAGAATTGGCCGCAGGTTATTAGGTCATCCAGCATCATTGAGAGAATGCAGTGAAATCCCAAAATTAAAGCAGTAAGCAAAACATTTGATTAGACTGGTAGTTAGTTGGCTATAAGCTACCAGCTCTGAATGAAAACATGTACAAATACAGAATTCAACTAACAAATATACTAATACTAGCAGTGACCAAAATAACATAAACACAAATCTCGTGCAGAGCTTAAGTGCAAGTGTATTTTGTGATATAGTTGTGAAAATTATGACCAGGTCCCAAAATTTGTTCAGCAGTAACCTGAGAAGGATTACCAAAATATTCAAAAAAATAAACTCTCAGATATGAAATGTAGCCAAGAATAATCTTGGCCAAAATGCAAACATATTCTATTTAGAAGCTATTAACAAAAATTAATCAGTAATCATATTTACTGATTTTAAAATTCTATATTCTTAGTGTTCTGTTAAAATGTAAAATCAATCAGTAGTCTCACATATTCATCTTAAAATTGTATGTTCTTGCTTTGTGAGTTTTTAAAATTGTGTTTACCCTTTCTCATTCCCCATTTTATTAATCTTTCCTTCCAAATTTTGTATGGCCCTTGAAAAGTGTCCCCTTATCCTTCTCTCTCCTTTTCACCCTGGACAATGCCTACTATATATTTTTTACATTTTTTATTAATTGTATCTCTCCTCGTCACATAAGGGTAGCAGCACAGGGTTGTAGTTTGAAACTCCTCCAAGTAGCAACTTATTTGACCAAATGAAACACTCACTAAAATTAACACTTCTAACGTTCTCTTAAGATGAACCCAGTACTACAGCTTTGTTCTGTTATATCAATGTATGACATGGTGTGATAGATCAAAAGTCTATTACTTGTTATTTGGGGATAGTACAATTACGTGGGAGCCTTGAATTACATTCACCATGCTCAGACAGTTAGCTATGCTTTCATTCTGCAACACTTTGTTGATAAACAAATGTATAACAAACAAAACAAAGAGCAATAATATAATCTGTATATCAATGAAAGAAACTATTTAACCCAAACCCCTTGACTCGTAATTCTTTGTTCTTTACCTTTAAACTATTAATTTGTTGAGTGAATAAGACCATCAGAAATGCTGATTGTTTTCTGTCCGCTCACATCTTTGATTTTCAATTCTTGATAACAAAATAGTAAGACCATTTTATGCAATATACGAGGGTTGGAACTTTAATAGTGGCAACTATTTATTTACAAGGAATACAAAAGTGATTCATGTCACCATGTTTTACAGTCCTTCAATATAGTCGCCAGCACTGTGTACAACCCGTTTCTAACGATGTGGAAGTCACAGAATACATGTAGCAGCACCTGTTTTGTTGATAGTTTGAATGGACCGGTCTACTGCCGCAAGAATCTCAGGAACAGTTTGGAAGCGAGTGCCACGAAGTGGTTCCTTCATCTTAGGAATTAAGTCATAGTCACAAGGGCTTAGATCTGGGAGTATGGTGGATGATAAGCACTTCCCAGCCCATCACTTGAACAAAAATCAGTCACAGCTTGAACTTGCAGCGGCCGAGGCAAGTCGGCAAAATGAAGAGGATGTGTTCTGCAGAAAGTGTCACTGTTTTTTTTCTAAAGCTGGTCGGAGATTGTGCTCCAAAAATGAGCAGTAATACTGCGCAGTGACGTCTGCTGTGGGGGAACGGTATGTTAGGATGACACCATCACAGTCGTACACGAGAATCACCATAACTTTCACACTGCTGGGGTTCTGACGAAATTTCGAACATCGTGGTGACCCGTGATGACACCATTCGTTTGATTGGCTTTTCAGTTCTGGCTGGTACGATCGGGCCCAAGTCTCATCCAGCGTAATGATACGGCGTAAAAAAGCATTTCCTTCGTGCTCATAGCGCTCCAGGTGGGTTCGGGCTGCATCGTATCGTAGCCATTTCTGCATTTCCATCAATTGATGTGGAACCCATCGGGAAGCAATTTTTCTCATGGACAGGCGTTCCTTCAGAATGTGCAGCACAGCCGTATGCGCTAAACCTGTTTGTCCGGCCAGCTGACGATCGTTTGGCGGCGATCACTGTCCATTAGGCGGCACAGCTTGCATGTCTGCATCGCTGACAACACGGAGACCTGGCCGCAACATGTCTGCCATGTTTTGGCGTCCTCATTGAATGCTTTCACCCATCTTGCTACGGTTCTGTAGGCAATGCAAATCCCGCAAGCCTCTTGAAGCCCTTGATGGCACTGTCGTGCTGTACACTTCTGGCACATTCAATTTTTATCCAACATCATTGTTTCTGTTTTGAAAACATGTGACAACACTTACTTTAGGACCGCAAGCTAATAAAAGGTCCGTCTTCGCGTCACCCGCTGCGCGTGACGTAGGCAAGACGAGTCTTTTTGCTGAGAGGTAAGGTAGGTATGTAGTTTACGTGTGGTATACGCGATATTCTTTGGTTTTGTTGCGTAGCATTTTTTCAGCTGTGTTGCCACTATTAAAGTTTGAGCCCTCGTATTTAATATAAACACCAATATGCAATTAGATTCCAGAGCACAGATCAAAAGGTCTTTTACTGCAGGAATAATACATATTATACTATACTACAGTATAACCACCATAGTATGTGAATAAATATTATTCTAGAACTGTGTATACATCCCATTCTATTAAGTTTGTTGATTTAAAACACATTTTCTCACACACAAATTTCAAGTTACTCGAGAATAAGTTAAAAATTTGATTATTCTCAGCAGGTCTGACCAACTACTACTTATCTCTTCAGCAAACAACATCTTTCAAATTTACAATTATTGGAATATCTGTTTTTATATAGAAGTAATTAAATGTAACATTTAATTTATAAAATAATTACAAGGCATCTGTAATTACCTCATTTTCTCTTCCAGGACCATAACCAACAAGTAGATTTGAAGCTTTGACATCAGCATGTATATAGCCATGGCTATGGATATATTCTAGGATATCTAACTGCAAAAATTAAGAGGAATTACATCTAACAAAATAAACTTATTAACAATATAAAACTGAAGCTATATAAACTTTATATTTCAGCAAAATTTACATATATCACATACTATTTTTCTGGTTACTATAAATCCCTGAGTAACAATGTCGATTTGTTAGTAAATATTTTCTACAGTCCAATCATTTTAACTACATTAAATGATATAAACATCACAATTAAAACTAAGCACATTGATTAACTCCCCATGTTATATGTGCAGTAGCTCAGAAAACTTTCATGCCATGTTGCCAAATTTAGTAATATGATAACAATTTAAAGACAACCATCATATTATTGCGTTCCATAGTCATGCACTTTTGACACTGCTTGTACATCTCTATTCATACGATACTAGAATTCTCGGAAGGCAATTTACCTAACAGAATTCAGCAAAGTTGTTTTCTCAGTGCCTAAGTACTCGAGTACCTTTTTGAAGGCTTATTCAATTCTCAGCTGTGTTGAGCTGAGATCCAAAATCTTTTGGGTATTTTATGTAAAATATCTTTTAGCTAAAAATAGCATAAACTAAGCATTTTAAATCGCATTCAACTCGGCAAATATGGGAACATGTACGTAAAATATTGGGAATGTAGCATACCCTTCAGAAATTCCTTGATTACAATTTATATAATAATTGATTTTATTTGCTAAAATATTATTATTGATTACATTTTCTATGATAGAATAAACACACACAAAAAAGGGGGATTATATGCTTCAAATAATAAAAAATAATAACTAAATTTTTTAAGCACAGAAATAATTCCGTATTTCAAGACATGCTACGTATAACTAACATCTTGCAAAAGAAGGGAGTATCTCTTTAAAAAATAACAACATACAGAATAATCCATTACAAAAATATACTTACAATCAATTTGCCTAATGTATATACAGTTTTTAAGGGAAATTTTTTATTATTTTTATCAAGTAGTTTTTGCAGATCTTCACCAAATCTTTCCATGACCATAAATCTGTATTTTACACTCCTGTATTCATGAGATCCTGAAGCAATAAACTTTGGCATACCAAGAAAATTCAGTTTTTTCTTTCGTTTCCATTCTTCAACTAAAAAAAGAAAATGATGAATAAATCAAAGGACAAAGAAGTGAATGGTGCTTGAAGGCCAACCAATATTGAAAAGACCACATGAAAACTGGTGAACAATGAAGATAATGTTGACTGCTTTAATTGATTATCAAAGTATAGTGGCACTTTGAATTCCTACCAAACGGGCAAACTGTTAACAAAGAATTTAATTTGTTATATGGCAATTGCGTGAAGTTCCCCCCCCCAAAATGAATTACAGCGAGACAACGCATGAAATTTACACAACACTGATGTGCCCATTTATTATGTTCTTATTTGTAAATTTTTACCCAAAATTCAATAACTATGGTTCCACAAGATCTGAATAATATTCCAATACTTATTAGTCTAACCACTTTGAATTTATAAACAGTTTAAATTATAATACATATCCTACATAAAATCTTCAACAACTCTAGACACTAAAAATCTTGCGAGGTAAGAATTCTACTTTCTGTGCTTTTAGACATATCATAACACAGTTCAAAGAAAACTTAATTCAATATCTGCCAGAGCCATCTCATTAAAATTCAGATATTTACTCTATAAGAACTTCTCAAGACAGAGAATTTTTAATTGCTTCCATGCTTTGCAAATTATAAGCTTTAATGAAAGCATTAATCACCAATACAAAGAACAAGTTGTTTCAATCGTATTTATATTGTTTTACTAACTCGTAAATGCAGTACCTACTGGGCAACAGATGCCTATAGCACTGTTCATTTCAGCATATTTTTGCAGATTTAGATCACAAGAATACAAATTGTCTGTGAAAAGAAAACAATTTGCTCAAAAAGAGACAATACACCCTCTTAAAGCAATACAGTGTTGCTAGTGCTCAGAAGTAGCATGAGCCACATATACTAATACCATAAACGCAAACTTGAAAATATGAAAAACTAGGTGATTTTTACCCGAAAACTATAAAAAATACAGGCTACATGGCAGTACATTTCAAGAGAATGCAAATCCAAATTCACTTTATATAATGCATGATATAAGTTGCTGAACTATAATGCAGTTCTGATATAATGTATGTTAATATTTAATTACATATTCTAAATTCAATGTTTTTTGGCTTATTTCTTTCATTTAGTAACATCTTAAATCTTTAATACAGAAGAAAATCTTGAGCATAAAAAAACAAACTTTTAAATTACTTTAAACAAGATAAAAAATAAAATTAATAATCAATGTACATACAATTGTGTAAACTTAACACTGTACTATTAATTGATGTAATTATTGGTACCAAAATTAAAATTAAATATAACCTGATTAAACATTGGTTGGATCTTCATATCTACACTACACTGAAGCATTCAGATCAGATTAAAAAACTTATAAAAAATTATGCTAAACATCACACAGAGAAGATGGATGATGGAAACTACACAATTTAACTTTTATTGAGCAATAACACTATTGCAGCCTTGGCTTTCCTTATGAATATAAAACCATAACTTTTATTACAGCACCTTTTTTTTTTTTTTTTTTTTTTTTTTTTTTAAAATCTTAGTAATAAACAATTTCAGTAGCTGGATTTGAAAGAGGTGAAAGAAGTCTACAAATCTTTCCTTCAAGTGTCATCTTTCTAACTATACAATACAGTCTCCCCAAGATACAACACAGAGAACCATCATTAATCTGTTGAAGTTTACTCCAAGTCATCTTATTATATATATGTGTGTATATATACCCACACATACATATAATAAGATGCCTTACTTACTATGATACACATACTTCAGCAGCTTAACAGCTTAATGTGCAAAAATACTAGGCATGAGTATACAGTGGATGGACAAAAAATATGGAAACACCTTGTGAAATGCATGTTTGAAAAGAAAGATTGATTTTAATGAAATATGTAGGTGGCGCTGGCATTTTTGACTACTGACGCCACCTATACAACTTCGTAAATGTGCTAAACAGTTCAGTTGTTGTCGGAGTACTGTTATGTGAGGTTGTCATTGCATTATGTCAGAGTTAACAGACTTCGAACGTGGGCAAATTGTTGGAGCACATATGGTAGGTGCTTCCGTAAGCAAGGCAGCCGAGGTGTTTAGTGTTTCAAGAGGTACTGTATCAAAGATTTATTCCGCATATTTGAAAAGCGGGAAAACATCATCTGCTAAATCACAGCGCGGACGAAAGTGTGTCCTGAGTGATCGTGACAGACGATCATTAAGGGCAATTGTGACAAAAAATAAGAAGACCACAGCTGCAAAAGTTACTGCTGAAATTAATGTTGTGGTACCGAACCCTGTGAGTACTAAAACAATTAGAAGGGAGCTTCACAAACAGGGAATGCTGGCCGTGCTGCAATTGAGAAGCCACTCATCAGTGATGCTAATGCCCATAACAGGAAAAGGTGGTGTTTAAGTCATATAGCATAGACTATAGAGCAGTGGAAGCGAGTAATATGGTCTGACGAGTCTTCTTTCACATTGTTTCCCACTTCTGGCCGAGTTTACGTCTGGAGAACGCCAACTCAAGCCTATAATACAGACTGTTTGTTGCCAAGAGTGAAACATGGCGGTGGTTCTGTTATGGTTTGGGCAGCCATATCGTGGTTTTCTGCTAGCCCCATGATAACTGTGTCAGGGCACATGATTGCCGAGACTTATGTGAACATTTTGGCTGATCAAGTTCATCCCATGGTACAAACTTTGTTCCCCGATGGTGATGGCCCTGTTCACACAGCTCACATTGTCCAGGACTGGTTTTCTGAGCACGAGGATGAGTTGTCCCATCTCCCCTGGCCACCACAGTCACCAGACCTGAATATTATCGAACCTTTGTGGTCTACATTGGAACGGAAAGTGCGTTCTCTTTTTCCACCGCCAACATCGTTATCTGAACTTGCCACCGTTTTGCAGGAAGAATGAATGGTATAATACTCCCTTGGCAAACATACAGGAACTGTATTTATCCATTCCGAGAAGACTGCAAGCTGTTTTGGATGCCAATGGGTTTCCTACAGCATATTAAGCAAATAAACATGTTTTTTTAAAGGTGTTTCCATATTTTTGTCCAACCCCTGTATATATTTTAAACTGTTTTGCAATTATATACATATGTATGTGGTGTGTATGTATATATATATATATATATATATACATACACACCACATACATATGTATATAATTGCACATACATATGTATATACACACCACATACATATGTATATAATTGTGTGTGTATATATATATATGTATATATATATATATATATATATATTAAGGCTACCCTAATTAGTTTCTATTATCATTTTAAATAGAAATGAAGTCGTATTATATAGCTATGAAAATTTATAAACATTTTAAGTGCATTAACCCATTAATGGTTTGACCTGTATTTTCTCGTTCTTTTATGCAGGTCTCTTAACGGTTCGTTACGGATTATTGTTAGTTTAAATGTACCCTCGAAAACGGATCTTCCAGTGTTTTTGTAATAGCGGAAAAATGCGCCAAAAACGTCTAGCCCGTACTTTTGTACGTCTTCCAACCCCCATTGCCTAAGCGGACAAGGGTCTGCACAACCCCTGACGACAATAGGTAATGACTGTCATTAGCGCGGGGAGAAGTCTTCTTGATGTTTTGAGATATATAAGGCCTTTACACTGACTCTAAGGAAACCGAATTTATTACCAGTTAACAAAGTGAATGTATACATATAAAAGGAATTAAGAAGTTTCCGTTTTAGAACAATTATTGAAATAAAATAAACAAGTTTTTAAAAATAAACTTTTATTTATGACTCATAAAATTATTAATGAATTAAAATGAGAAAAATAATGTATTATATAATTTACTGGGAACACGTGATTAAATAATTCTCTTTTAAAAAAAGTTTTACAAATTTATATCACGAATAATAAAAAACATGCGGCTCTCTTGATAAATTTATAAATCTTATACTTTTGACAATGTGATTCGATTATTTGATTTCGTTATTTAAGAATCTATTATTCTTGTTATCAAACTGTACAGGAATTTTTCAAAGGGGCTCTTATTCCCATTAATCTGTATGACAAATTATTTTTCTCCTCTTGGTTGTCTTTTACTTCCAAAATTCCTCTTACCTCATAAAAAATTAAGTTTTAAAAATTCACCCAAAATCAGAAATTATATTAATTTTAAGCAAATTTTATTTCAAAAGCTATTTTACGCTCTGTAAAGTGATGCAAACTTAAAATCTGTGAGATTTTTAGTTTATTCTTTAAATGGAAATATGCGCAAAAAAGTTTTTCAACATTAAATTTTAAGACCTCTAAATTGAATTTTATAAAACTCGGTTTACCTTGCCGTATTTCCATCCATAAACGGTGTGAGTACAAAATTTGAACTCGGTAGCTTATCGAGAAAAAGTCTAAATATCGATGACGAGCTTCTGATTATAGCGACAAAACACCATGATTGAAATGCATACAATTTTTTAAACAAACTTGCTGACTCTTAAATATTATATTTTTAAACATTTTGGAAAGTTCAGTAAATGTTGATATAAAAAAACCGTCATTTTCATAACATTCTTGGTATTATAAAGCATGTACGTGACATTCACGCGATTCCAGACAGCTATGTTCATTTATCAAAGTGGCTGCTTTTGCGACAAACACAATTATATATTGTGATGCTCATTCTATATCCTCCCCTATCTATGATACTCATTACTGATATTTAATTATGTTCTATATCTACACAGAAATATTGGTAAGACTGAGAGAGGTCAACAAAATTACTTATACTAACTCAGGAAATTTTGAGTCATTATTTAATAATAATCTTTTCTTTAAAATTCCTTTTTCGCCCCCCTTACGCTTAATGACTTTATTCCAATGACTGTAAGGTTATGAAAACTGAAAGCTGAGTATATAATTACAGATCTCACTAATAAATGCTTTACAAATACAACTCTTCATATTTCAGCAGAAGTTTTTGAAAACGCATTTATATAGATTATTGTAGAAATCG